AAATTTACTTCTCACAGTTCTGAAGGCTGGGAAGTTCAGGATCAAGGCACCAGAAGATTCGGTGTCTGGTGAGGGCCTGCTTCCTGGTTCACAGACGGCACCTTCTGGTTGTGTCCTCACATGGTGTACAGGGAAAGGGAGTTATCTGGGATCCCTTTAAAAGGGCACTATAATCCCATTCATGAGGGCCACACACTCCTGACCTAATCACTCCCCAAAGGCCCCAGCTCCAAATACCAAAACACTGGAGATGTTGTTTCAACAGAAGAATTTTGGAGGAACACAAACATTCAGACTATAGCAGAAAAAAAGGAGTAGATGATGGCATTGGGCTAGGTTTGAGTATTCATGGACAACATGCTAGGAAGGGTGATGGAGTGGGGAGGTGGGAGATGGGGAAGCGAGGAGGCTGGAAGGTGAGAGCACTTTAACTGAGGAGCCATTGTACCTAGTGGGGTGGGGAGGGAAGGAATGGAAGAGAAACTGAGTCTCCATAGACTGTAGAAAATATAGTGTCTTGGGATTGAAGCTTCCACCTGTGATATCATATAATGGGAACAGTTGGAAGGGGAGCACAAAAATACTGGATGGATAGAAGAACTAGGCAGATGATGAAGTATTGGAATTTGCATTTTCATAAGTGGAAAAGTTTTTGGGAGATAATGAACCCTTGGTAGTTAAAGGAAACAGTTGCCTTCATCAGGTCTCTTCCAGTTGTGAGTTATAAGGGCTGAACTCAACCAGCTCAAAGAGAAAGGTAACAGTTCTGATCATCTGTTGCTATGTGTCTCTACCCCTGTCTTAGTCTATCTGGGCGGCTGCCACAAAATGCCATAGATTGGGCGTTTTGTGCACAATAGAGATTGATTTCTCACGGTTCTGGAAGCTAGGAAGTCCAAGGCCTGGGCACCAGCAGGTTCAGTGTCTGGTGAGGGCTCTCTTCCTCTCACAGTGTCCCCACTTGGTGGAAGGGACTAGGGGGTCTCGCTGAGGTCTCTTTTATGAAGGCTCTTGTCTCATTCAGGAGGGTTCCATCCTCATGAACTAGTCACCTCCCAAAGGCCCCACTTCCAAATACAGTCACCTTGAGGGTTAGGATTTCAACATGTGAATTTGAGCGGAGGATATAAACATTCAGACCATAGCAATCCCCCAAAATACAGTGGCTTCAAACAATAATCATTTTAGTATTTTTCATGATTTCCTAGATTAGGAATTTGGGCAGGGCCCAGCTGGATGCTCCCTGTGGTGTCACTTGAGGTCACTTGAATTGGGCTAGCATGGAGAGTCCCAAATGCTTTCATTCACAAACCAGGCATTTGGTGACAACCAAAAAGACGAGAGTCAAGCATAAAAATCCTCTGGGAATACAGAGGCCTGGCCTAGGGGGTTGCCAGTGACAGAAATGAGGAGAGGAAGGGAATGTTCTGGCCCAATAGCCAGAGGCTCAAAGTAGCAGAAGGAGACTCTTTCTTCAGAGGATGAGGGTTCTAAAACAGAAGAACACAGATGTGGGCTCCAGGCCTCCTGGAGAATCAGGCCAGAGGCAGGGTCGCTCTCAATGGGGAGAAGGCTTCGGAGGTGGTGTCCTGGGGAAGGAGAAGGAAGGGATCTGGGAAGAGTGGGGTACAGGAGGTAGGAAGGGCCAAACACAGCAGAAGATGGGTGGAGAGTCCAGGACAGGAGAGTGTGGTGGTGGTGCCCCAGCCAGAGGGTGAAGCAGAAGGCATGGGGGCAGTAGATTGGGCCACAGGTGTGGAGGTGTCCCCTGCAGGCGGGCTGGTGGCTCTGGAGCTGAGCTGTGCCAAGTTCCCTCAGGAGGCAGACATTGGGGGCCTTGGGAGGGCAGGAAGAGAGTCACAGTGTGTCCAAGCAAATCCAGTACAAGCATAGGAGCGGGTTGTGAATGGGAGGAAAACCTACAATAAAACAAAATGGCGGCCGGACATGGTGGCTCACGCCTGTAATCCCAACACTTTGGGAGTCCGAGGCGGGCAAATCGTGAGGTCAAGAGTTCGAGACCATCTTGGCCAACATGGTGAAACCCCGTCTCTACTAAAAATACAAAAATTAGCCAGGCGTGGTGGCATGTGCCTGTAATCCCAGCTACTTAGTAGCCTGAGACAGGAGAATCGCTTGAACCCAGGAGGTGGAGGTTGAAGTGAACCAAGATTGTGCCACTGCACTCCAGCCTGGGCAACAGAGCAAGACTCTATCTAAAAAAAAAAAAGAAAGAAAGAAAAATGAGGCTGAATGCATTCACTCATGCCTGTATTCCTAGCACTTTGGGAGCCCAAGGCAGGAGGATCGCTTGAGCCCAGGAGTTTGAGACCAGCCTGGGAAACATAATGAGACCCCATCTCTACAAAAAAAATACAAAAATTAGCTGAGCATGGTGGCGCACGCATATAGTCCCAGCTGCTCAGGAGGCTGAGGTGGGAAGATGGCTTGAGCCCAGGAGGTAGAGGCTGCAAAGAGCTGTGATCACACCACTGCACTTCAGCCTGGATGACACAGTAGGACCTTGTCTCTCAAAAAAAGAAAAGAAACAATAAGTTGCAATAATAATCTTGAATTCAAACCATCTCACAAGGCTGCTTCAATATTTTGCTATTTTCCTGCATGTCTGGATTGGTATGCTTTGGCCTCATTCATAATTTTTTAGAGTATGCAAAACATGCAAATGGCCTTTATCACAGTGCACATGCTGCACACGAATGCAACGGAGATGTGTGATGCAAAGCCTTTCTCCACACATTAACTCAACAGAAATTTACTGAGCAGATTCTACATGCCAGGTCATACTGTTATAGGAAAGGGGTCCGGATCCAGACCCCAAGAGAGAGTTCTTGGATCTCACACAAGAAAAAATTCAGGGCGAGTCTGTAAAGTGAAAGCAAGTTTATTAGGAAAGTAAAGGAATAAAAGAATGACTACTCCATAGACAGAGCAACCCCGAGGCCTGCCGGTTGCCCGTTTTCATGGTTATTTCTTGATGACATGCTAACCAAGGGGTGGATTATTCATGCCTCCCCTTTTTAGACCATATACGGTAACTTCCTGTTGTTGCCATGACATCTGTAACCTGCCATGGCGCTGGTGGGAGTGTAGCAGTGAGGATGACCGGAAGTCACTCTCGTCACCATCTTGGTTTGGGTGGGTTTTGGCTGACTTCTTTACTGCAACCTGTTTTATTAGCAAGGTCTTTATGACCTCTATTTTGTGCTGACCTCCTGTCTCATCCTGTGACTTAGAATGCCTTCACTGTCTGGGAATGCAGCCGAGTAGGTCTCAGCCTTATTTTACCCAGCTGCGATTCAAGATGGAGTTGCTCTGGTTCACATACCTCTGACAATATCGTAGAGCAAACCAGGCCTCAGGGAGGTGGACACCGAAGGAGGGCATATACAGATGTGTAGGGATAAATGTTGGGAAGTGCCTGGAGGAAAACGGGGAGCTGGGAGAGAGTTTGGCAAGGGGAGGGGATGCGAAGCAGCCGTTAGGTACTTGCTCTGAGACCTAAAGGAGTATGCTCAGACCGAGGGAGCCGCAGTTCTAGGCTGAGATTGCAGAGGTTTAGGAGTCCAAGAGTCCAGCAGGGCCGGATGAGCTGAGAGCTTAGGGAGAGCTTGAGAGAGGCCAACCTGTGGGCAGAGCCTCAAGGGCTCTGGTGAGAAATTTGGGCTTCATCTTCCTTGTGGAGGGCTGTTTCCTCTCATGCGTGGTCATCCTGGAAGGTGAACTGCTCTTCAGTGGGTACTTTACCTGCGAAAATCGTATGTGGACAATGTGGTGGGTGAGTCCCTCCAAAATGAGTTTTGTGTGAGTTGCCCAACAGCGTAACAAACTGGGCGCTATTTGTGTTCATTGCTCACTTTGTTGCTCTCTGATGCAAATCTCTGTAAATGGAGGCCTCAGCTTCTAAGAGAAATAAAAAAAAAGGTTTTTTGCAACCCAAAGCCCAGGCTGAAATAGACATGCTTCCTTGTCATTGCCTTGACCAATGACTAGATTTTTTTTTTTAGTGCCCTGTTGATGTGGGGGTGTCATATCCAGGTCCCTACTTAGTATGGACCCAAGGCCTTGTTGTCTGCTGTCACCGGACCATTTAAACCAAGTCCCTTGGTTATTATAACAGCGAGCCCCCCTACCCCGCGACCCAGCGGTGTGCAGCCAACCCTCAGTTGATGCGTGGCCTCTGATCTTCCCTCCCGAAGTCCTTACAACCTCAGCCCCATCGGTATTTTCGGATGTTTTTGTAGCGCAAGTGTTTTCAGACAGGAAATGGACGTTTGAATCTTATTGTCTGAATGCAGAAAGAAACAATGGAAGGATCTCCATCTGGGGAGGAACAGATCTGGTCTTTAAAGTTCGCTCAGGCTGCTCTGCAGGGGACGTGGGGCAGAAAGACAGAGCCGCCAGCCGGGGACCAGCAGGCGTCCCCTGAAGCTGCCAGAGCAAGAAAGGAAGGGGACCAGTTATATAATCCATGGGACATCCACACAACAGAACATCACAGCTGTCAGAAAGACCAAGGCGGTGTGCCGGGCACGGACATGCAGACATGAGCCAGAAATATTAGAAGGAGGAAGAAAGGTGCAAAAAAAAGACCTGTCCAAAACTAAAAAGTGTATATGGAGACATCACAGGGCAGCAAGAGAAGCAGGAATGGACCAGACATGAAGGGCCACCAGGCTGAAGGGCTGGGCTGTGTCCTGGGGGAACTGGGGAGCCATGGGAGGTCTGTGAGCCGGAGAGGAGCTGGGCAGCTCTGGGGGACAGAGTGAATTTCAGGAGGCCCAGAAAGAGGCTTGGGAGAGGGTCCACACCAAAAGAATAGAGGTTCTTATCCTCACTTGATGGGGTGGGGTGGGGCTGCGCTGGTGACAGAACCGGCAATCGGAGGAAGCGGGTGTTCTGGGCCCAGCCCAGGGCTTCTTCTGGGAACTGGACGGGGCAGGGACTGAGCACAGCATTCACCACGGGGCTTCCTGCCTTAGAATGAAGATGCTTAACTGGTGGGAGGAACATCAGAGTCCCAAGACCAAAGAAGGCCTGACCCTTAAGAAACCAGAGCTGCTGGAGGAACCAGAAGTACCCAGCGTGCCTGAAGCTGACATCCCACCAGACGGGGCTGGAGGTAAGTCCCTGGGACAGTCACAGGCAGGTCGTCAAACAACAGGGCCGCAGGCCAGGGTCCCCAAACCCATCACCTGGCAGAACCACCGGGAGGCACTTGTTCAGGACAGAGAGTCCCAGGCCGCCTCAACCCCCCACACCACATGCTACATTTGCCAAAACAAAGTGCCACAGACTGGCTGGCTTGAACAGCAGATATTGATTTTCTCCCCCTCTGGAGGCTGGAACTCCCAGGTCAAGGTGCCAACAGCCAAGCTTCCTTCTGAGGCCTCTCTCCTTGGCCCGCAGATGCTGTCTTCTCCCTGTGTCCCCACAGGGTCATCCCTCTGTGTGTGCCTGGGTCCTAATTTCCTTCCCTTGTAAGGACACCAGTCATTGAACTCAGGCCCACCATGTGACGTCATTTAACCTTAATCACCTGTGTGAAGACTCTGTCTCCAATACAGTCACATTCTGAGCCCCTGGGGGTTAGGATGTCAACATATGAATGATGGGGGGTGGGGTGGATTCACACTTTAAGCCACAACAGAGGCTTAAAGAGGCTGCTTGGATTCCCCGGTGTTGGGTACTCAGAGAGGGGACTGGGCTTGCCGGAGGCAGCGGAGCAGCCGAGTCTGGTTCTCCCGAAGTCTAGGGATCTGGAGAGACAGAAGAGTGTAGACTCCGAGACGGATCACGGCACTCGGCCTGGGACGTGGAAACCTGGCCCAGGCAGAGCTGCACAGACCTGCCGATGCCAGCAGTGACTCCGTCCCAGACTCCAGACCCGGAGGCCGATGCCCGGTTCTCACCCATTTCCTCCCATTTCCTCGGGGAACATGCCCCGGGGCCTCCCCAGCGCCAGCCCTCGTGTTAGCCAATGTAGGGAACATGCCTAACACCTGACACCTGCCCGAGGGACACGCCACCCCAGCAGCCAGGCTGACAGGAGCAGAAACAAAACACACAGGGACACGCCAGGCATCAGCACCAGGAAACAGGCTGCTGCCGCCCACAGGGGCCGTTGTGAGCCCAGAGTGGATCCAACCCAGCCTCAGCCTTCTTCAGAGAGAGAAACTGAAGCATGCTCAGCACCATGGGAAGGTGGCTTGAAACCCTAAGGAACCCCCAAAAACACATCCACAGGGGCACTGGGAACCATGAGGCCCCAGCCTCGGCACATCTGCATGCAGACAGAGAAACTGAGGCTCACCGTGCCTCGGGCCACACCGCAACGCTGCGCGCTGCTCAGGACTCCTGAACCCGGGACCCTTGCCCCCCACTGCAGCAGCTGACCCTGTCCTGGACATTTTCTCCTGACTTTATGAGACTCTAGTGCAGAGGTTGCAAACTCAAATGCTCACAGCCACCAGGCAGGGAACAAGCGGGGCACAGTTGGCCTAATGGGGGCCTCATCTGCCTTGAAAGCAACTGAGCGTCCTGAAGGCGGCGGCTCACAGTGGCGGAACTCTCTCCAACTCCTCCCTACCCGCTCCCCACAGGTCAGGAACACGGGGTGACTACAGCTAGCTCTTCATGTTTTTTTGTTTGTTTGTTTTTTGAGGAGAATCCAGAGATCTCGATTTCAGTGTGAAATGTCTTGATTCCAGCACCTCAGCAATTGAGAACATGTTTTTAAAAGGCAGCGCCGCCGTGGGTCAAAGAAAAGCCCCGATGAGGCCTCCCATTTGCAAACTCGGATCAGAGGCAGAGATGTGGAGGGGACTCCGCTCCCTGAACACACTTCCTGCCCACAGCAGGCGAGGCTATTCAGAACGCAGACGCTTTGCCCAGGGCAACCAGAATCCCCAGGTTCTGGGGGGAAGCTTGGGTGTGGAGGAGTAAGGAGGGGTTTCTAGGTAGAGAAAAACATTCCAGGTGTTCACTCACGTGGCCACAAATCCCCGGAGGCCTCCTATGTGCCAGGCGCTGGGCTGGGGACAAAGAGGAGTCAGACCCAGGTCCTACCCACAAGGACCTCCAGGTTGCTACACCCCTTCGAGCAGGGTCAGGGCTGTGTCCCAAGAAGCATGGGGAGAGGGGAGAGGAGGAGGAGCTGGCATTGAGGGAGGGAGGGCTTGACCCTGCTTGGGGAGCTGAGTGTTGCTACCTGAGCCCAGCAGGCATGCAGGGAGAGGTGATGGCACCGCCAGGCACAGAAAGCTGCAAGATTGAAGGCAGGAGGCATGGCGCTGGGGGTCAGAGCACTCCAGCAAGGGCAGAGCAAGCAGCATTTCTAGGGCAGGAGGCAGACGACGGTGAGAACGGAGCCAGGCAAGGGACCACAGGCTGGGCCTGGGTGAAGCTCCTTGCAAACAGGCCTTGCTCACCCTCAGAAGTGAGGGAGGAGCTGATACTGATGGGGGTCCACTTCCCCTCCTCTCTGAAGGACACGCACAGTGGTGACAATGTTCCTGAGTTTGACTTCAGTCCTGATGCCCCACCAATTGAAGGGTCGTGGGGACTAGGAGGCTGACCAGGAAAATTGTGGCATCACTCTGGGTGGGCTGAGGGGTGAGCGCAGCAGGGACCAGCCGCTCCACAGATAAAGGTGAGATTGGAAAGTGGAATCATCTCCCAAGAAGTGGATATTGGGCTGAACTCTTTCCCCTGAGGGTAGACTGAGGACTGAGGGTGGCCCAAGCCCTCACAGGCCTTCATTCACCTAAGCCAAAGACCCTGTGGAATTGGTCCCATTACCATGCCCATTTTACAGAGGAGGAAACTGAGGCCCAGAGAGGCTGAGAAGCCTGCCTAAGGTTACATTCCTACCTTCTGAGGCAGACGCTATCCCCCTGCCCTTACCCACAAAGAAGTTGAAGTTCAGAAAGGGGAGGTCCTTCCAGACTGTCACAACCTGGGGACAAAGCCAGATCTGAGGTGCTCCTGCCCTCTCCTGCCTGCTCCTAGGAGCAAGGCCCATCGGGATCACATCAGGCTCTCTTCTCCCCATTCCAGAGTGCAGACTGTGGAAGGGAGCCGTCTGGGGCCATGCAGCCACTCCAGGCTTTGCTGGCTCAAGGAGCAGGTCTAGGCTCTCCCTCCCATTGACCCTCAAAGTCTAGTCTCTCTGTCTCTGTTTCTCCCTCTCTCTCAATTCCATGCACAGATGGTTAACTCTCTGTGTGCCCTGTACCCTGCTAGGTTTGGAGAATGGCTGTGGATAGGGCTGCCACCATCCCTTCCTCTCCCAGGTGGGGATCACCCCAACCGCGGACACTGCAGAGGATGGGGGCCATGGGATCATGGACTTCTGTAGTGGCCCCCTGGACAATGGAGCTGAGCCACCTGTGTTTAGATCCCAGCTCTGGCCCTGAATGTGGGCCACTCCCATGTTCCCTAACCCCAGCTTTCATCTGCAAAATGGGGGTATAACAAACCGTGGACCACTGTGAGGCACAGATGAGTTAATGTTTATTCGGTAACCAGCTCGGGGTTAAGGGCATGGTGATGGCAGCCTGTGTGTGTGCCAGGCCATGTTCTAAGCACATTACATGGGTCCTCTTGTTTGCATCCATCAGGATTCCATCAGGGAAACAGAATGAGTAGCTGATCCTTATACAAAGGCTTATTGCATGGAAGTGGGTTATGTGATTCTGACAGCTGGTTAGGCAGGTGCTATGGACTGGATGTCTGTGTCTTCCCAACATTTTTATGTTGAAACTTAATCCCCACTGTGATGGTATCTGGAGGCCTCGGTGTGGACTACCACAACAACATACCATAGCTTATAAACACAAGAAATTCAATTCTCACAGTTTGGGGAGCTGGGAAGTCCAAGACTTCTTATTTCTTCTGGGAAACCTCCATTCTGCTCTTAAGGCCTTTTTGGGATGTGATTAGGTTATGTAGGTGGAACCTTCATGAATGGGATTCATGCCCTTATAAGAGGCCTAAGATGGCTGGGCACGGTGGCTCATGCCTGTCATCCCAGCACTTTGGGAGGTTGAGGCAGGAGGATCACTTTAGCTCAGGAGTTTGAGACCAACATGGGCAATATGGTGAAACCCCATCTCTACTAAAACTACAAAAATTAGCCAGACATGGTGGCACACGCCTGTGGTCCCAGCTACTCGGAGGACGAGGCAGGAGGATCGCTTGAGCCTGGGCAGTGGAGGCTGCACCACTGCACTCCAACCTGGGCAGCACAGCCAAACCCTGCCTCAAAAACAAAACAACAACAACAAAAAGGCCTAAGAGGTCAGACATTTCCTCTTCTACCGTGTGAGGACATAGCATAAAGCACCGTCTATGAACCAGGATGCCGGCCCTCACCAGACACAGAACATGCCAGTGCCTGGATCTTGGACTTCCCAGCTCCCCAGACTGTGAGAAATGAATGTCTTGTATTTATAAACCACCCAGTCTGTGGCATTTTGTTGCAGCAGTCCACACCGAGTAAGACAGCAGGTCTGAAGTCTATAGGGCAGGCAGGCGGGAGAGGCAGGCTGGAAACTCCAGCAGCAGCTGAAGCGAAACGCTTTCTTTTCCCGGGAAACCCCCATTGTGCTTTTAAGGCCTTTCAACTGATTGCATCAGACCCACCTACATTATTGAGACTAATCTCCTTCAGTTAAAGTCAACTGATTAGAACAACAACAACAACAAACAGGTAACTACAAGACGTGACGGATATGTTAATATGCTTGACGGTAGTAATCATCTTACTATGTATATATCTATCAAAAGATCACGTTGTATACCTTAAATATATACAACACAGTCAACTGATTAGAGACGTCAGTCACAGCTACAAAATCCTTCCTCAGTGACATGTCTCGGTGTTTGATTGAGCAGCTGGGGTCTGTAGCCCAGCCAGGTTGGCGCATAAACAGACCATCGCACTGCTGTGTCCCCACCACGGCCCTGTGGAGTGGGTTTTGAGATTATCCCCATCCTGTAGAAAAGGATGAGGAGACTCAGAGAGGGCAAGGAGCCTCCCTGACTGAACAAACGGCGGAGACACCTGAGCCAGGGCTCGGAACGTCCCTTCCTCACCTCCCGCACCACGTCCCATCCAAC